AAGCTGAAAATAATATATATATATATAAAGTAATATATTGGATAAGATTCAAAATAAACCATTTGAAATTTGATTCGACGTTTTTACCTTACAATTTTTGCATAAGCCCACGTTATTAAGTGTATAATTATATTAATAATAATAATAATAATAATAATATAAAAAAGGGGAAAATGTGTTTAAAAAACTATTTAAGGTATAACGAAAATTCATACTGATACCAGTCACGATGAAAAGTGTGATAAAACGACGAATAATTTAAAATATGCTTTCGAATGCGTCAAACAATTTTGTAAAATAATATATTATAGCGTTTGTATAATATTTTTTGTTTTTCTTTTTTTTTTCCCTTTATTTTTCTTCAATCTTACGAATTAATTTTCTTTCTCATAGATTTATTAATTAATAAGATTTTATATGAGAGAGCCAAGCATTGAACTAAAACTTTAGGATACGTAGAGTGGTATTGTTAATGATAATATTATAAAAGAAAAAGAAAGAAAGAAAAAAAAAAAGAGAGAGTAAAGAAAAGTTTAAATCAAACTTATTAAGTAAGGTATTCCCTTTCGTCGTTAATTTCAAATCAATGAGAAAATTTAAAACATATTATTGCTCTAAGTAGGGTTTAACTTAAATATTTCTTTTCGTTAGATCCTCTTCAACAATATTAAATGTTTATAGGATTCTGTAAAGGAAGAGGAATCGATTTGAAAAAAAAAGAAACAGTTATGATCCCCCAGTATTTTCGTTATAATTGTGAGAAATACTATTTCAATTAATAATTATTATAAAATTAATAATAATAATAATAATAATAATAATAATGCGGTACACAATGAATCAACAATTGAATCTCTCGCAATTCGAATGTATTTTCTTTTTTCTTTTCGCGTCTTTGCGAAAAATATATCCCGGCTTGTGATAGAAAGAGAAGAATAATAATAAAAAGAATAAAAAGGAAACTATTATTTAACATCGGTGAAAAGATCGTGTGAAATTATTATTAAAAAGGTTAAAACAAATTTTTATCGGTATATATCGATCGGTAAAGGAGAATAATAAGAAGTAAGGTGTCCTACAATGAAATTGATCGTAAGATAAATGAACGCGGTGAAAATATTCGTAACGAATTAGGAATAAAATATATTTTAAGAATAAATTAAGAATTATCGTTTTTAACATTAATAAAATTACGATGAACAACGCAATTTCCAATTATGAGGAATCGAATGAAACTTCTCGAATCGTCATTAAAATCTACGGGGGGGGGGGGAAAAGAAATTTAACAACAACACCGTTATAAATACCAATTGTGCTTGAGATTTAACGAACGACGAAAACGAATTGCGAAAATAAATAATACGCGCAAAGTGTGGGAAATATGTGTGAAATATTATTTAAATTGAAAAATAATCATTGATGATTCCGGATACCTGAAAGTTATCTTTCTCCATTTTGATAGTACTCGAGCCACCAGAATTTTGTCGTGTCACTGTCCTCCATGGTCGGTAATAGGTACTGTTGTTGCCCAATAATGATCGAAATGGTGTAGGATGATGAAGAAATGGTCGATTTATACCGAGATCGGAAAAATCTGTGACCAAATCGTTTCTATGCAATCCTCTACCAAAATATTGATCCCAAATCCGTGATACTGGACGTTCCATATCTTCCCACCAATCACGAAACACGAGCGGTACTATGGACATTTTTCTGCGAACATATGTAACAAACAACAATAAGAAGAAATAATAAGCAAAAAAAAAAAAGAAACGGGGATGATATAATAATATTGCAACTCGGTAATATCCACACTGATTTTTAAAGCATTCATAACTAAATACCATTTTATGATAGTGCATTTAAGGATAATGCATACGAATAGGTTTGGTTTCAAGAGAGACACCCTAAACTTCTTAAAGTAGAATCATAAAACTTAGCTATTAAACACGTTTATGTGATTAATGTGTATTAATATATGATTAATCTAAAAAAAAAAAAGAAAGAAAAAAAAATGAAAAAAAAAGGGTAAAAGTACCTTAAAAAAAAAAAAAAAAAAAAAAAACCCATTCAAACTTGACAGTCTTAATAATTTATATTATTGTTTACTATTAATATTATTTAGCTCGTGCAAGGAACTCGGTGTTAGTATAATAAAATCCACGTTTTTACAACCAATTGTTGCTAGAGCCACGATTCACGCGTACACACATATACCACCCCACTTTCACATACACGTAGCAAATGAATCACACATGCATTGATATAGAAAAGAGTTTTTCGAGTGAAACTAAGATGATAGGAAAAAAAAAAAAAGAGAAGCCCAGAAAAGAAAATAGATTAATTGTAACGTATGTGTTACATAGGACAATAAGGTAATAAGGACGCACTTCTTATTCGATAATTTAAACAAAAAAAAAAAATTAAAGAAAAAAGAAACAGGCTAGAGATCAAATCGGAGAGAAAGATAGAGAATGATTTTGCGAGCGAACAAAATTTATTTCAAACAAAAAAGAAAGAAAATCAATTAAAATATCGATCTCTGATAAGAACAAAAAAGAGAAGTTTAATATAATTTTATATTAGAATTAGAGTGATTGATTGATTGATTGATTGATTGATTTATTTATTTATTTTGTTTTCTTTTTTCTTTTTTCTTCTTCCTTTTTTTTATGTAAGATTTCTAATATAAGTACCACGTGTATTAAGAAAGTTCTGAGTAAACCGATTATTTTATAGAGAGATGGCCTATATATTGGATTATAACAAATAAAATTATTATGAAATTGGATCATAGACAAATTATAGGCTGATTAGAGATAGTCGTACGTGAATATATAAACTCGTGGACGGGATTATTTTAAAATTCTAATGACATTTGAACTAACCTATCACTATAACAACAAGTACACGGAAATTCTTCGTAAATTATTCGAGCGCACAATTAGTATTGTTAAACGCGTCCAATTCGAAAAATTGTTCGAGCATATACAATTGTATTGTTTAAATAATTATCGCTTCATTGGTAATCGAGAGAGGAGATGCTGTCGCATGTGAAAGAAAAAGAAAAAAGAAAAAAAAGTAGGGGGAAAAAAAAAAGTTAAAAAGAAATGAAAAAAAAAAA